AACGAACAGTCCCTAATGTGAGGTGAGGTTTGTGGGCCATGAACGGCTTGTTTCTCCTCTGACACATCACGTACGGTCTGTGTTTGGTTGGCTCGGCTGTTCAGGTACTTCTGGGCAGTCCACATGCCAAGAAAAGGATATTTTTGGAGCCTACCTCTCCGTCGCCCGGTAAGCCGATGGCTGCTGTAATTGACAGGAATGTATTACTGTCTGTCTGTGACCCCCGTTCAACCCACAACTGATGGGATTCGCCTTTTGTTTCTGCTGCTGGTTGAAATCTGTAGGCTGCTAGCACAGTGTGCTGAATGATTTAAGCCTATTTTGCTCACTCAAAACTATTTTTAGTCATAAATGTGAGTCCGGTGACGGGCGGATCGCCACACTGCCGACATTTTACTCTGCCCGTCATGGCACGCTGTTTGATTGCGATATCAAAACACACCGCTATTATTCGGCCTTGCTTTTAACTTATTACACTGAATACCGAATGTGTGGTTTTTTTTTGCAATATTCGGCCGAATATATTCAGTTACCAAATATTCGGTGCATCCCTACAAGAAAGATGGTCACTTGGTCAACACATGTACCCAAAACCAAACACTAAGGTGGTTCCTCAGTATGATTTTAAAAAAGCTTCAGTGTTATTTCAAATTGAAATATAATGTCTTAATACTGTCACTATTTATATAATAAAGCTAATAGAGAAGAACAATAACAAGGGAAACAAGGCCAATATCAGGAACTCATCTGCAACACAATTGGCCATATCTCATCATTTTCTGCCTTGTGGAATTAGTAATGTTATGTTAAGACTAAAAGGTTTAGTGCCTTACATGGTCTCCAGTCCCTGCCAGGTGGACACATACTGGTCTGTTCTTCTGCCACCTCTTGGGAACTATAAACTGGAACCTGAAAGAATACACACTGTAAGGACTGATAGAACAGCACACATACACATTGCAAATGATCAACATGTTTTCTTGAATTTTCATTTGAATTTTGTTTTTTACATTACATTAGTATTGGATCCATCATAATCCTATTTTGGTATTTTTTTAAAAAAAGGAAAACTCTCCCTTTACAGGTTCCACTGATCACAGCCAGGGCTCATATCCACCAATGTGACATAATGACATTTAGCCTCAGAAGAAGAGGGTATCGTTATGTTCTGTACCTGGCTTTGACAGCCTCTGGTGGAAGGATTCCAGGAACCAAGTGCTCCAGGGGAGAGATAAAGAATCCTTCGTGGATCTTACAGTCAGTATGCTCCTCTGTCTGGATTTAAAGGCAAAAACATATGTGCATATATGTAATAATACAACAGCTACTTCTACTTGTAAGCAATGAAGAAAGAACAGATGGCGTACCTTGTTTATGTAGACTGGATAGTCCTTTGGCACCAGATACCTGCACCTCTCTCTGTCTCCAATGATCTTACGAAATTCAAATATTCTGCACAAATACAAACAAGATAGTATAGGTAACGTAATAAGAAGTCAGATGAATACAGCTGGATCTTTTAGATTCTGGACATATAATTAAAAAAGCTGACTTTATAGATGCAAAGTGGAAAACCTACTACTTTCTAGACAAAAAAGCTTTTTCCACCAACAGCTTACAGTGTAAATAGCAAGTGCTACCTCTTCTCCAGCTATCGCTGGCGGGGAAGCATAAAAACCCATTTTGTTTCACTGTGACCACATTTACTGCTGCATAGTATTGATATAATTAATGAAGAATGGGTGTATAGAGATCTGTAAAAGGTTTCAAGTGATTTTTGGTTTCCTTCTAATTTGGTTGTTATAAATAAATATACTGTAGCACTACACTAACAAATACAGACAAACAAACACTAAATCAATGCAAGCTTAATGGGTCATTCCATATCAACTCACCTAGACTGAGTAGACAAATTTAAAGCAAGTGCAGGCTAATTACACCTAAAACAGCTGAGCTATATTTCACTAAAAAATACTGCTGCTGATGCAAACAAACTGTGACATCATCTGTCAAGTCAAAACATCCACTTCTCAACTTCAATAGTTCCTTGTCTGTTCTCATCTCAGCTAAACTTGAAATATCAACTTTTCCATTACTGGAGGCTGTCTTGTGACAAATGGCTTCTTCTTCCAAGCCTTTTCCAATAAAGCAGGGCTCCATGACCACATCAAACTACTTCATGATTAAATGCATTGGGTGTGCTTACTGCTGGGTATCTTGCAATCCATTTTGCAATAATCTGCGCAAACCTGTTTGAGGTGGGATCAGCCCAGACTTGCTTTAGTTTTTTCTAGTCAATCTAAAACACAAAGAGATAGAAACCTTGAAGTTCTATATGTAACAGAACCAGAGAGACCCAGTTTAGGATATTGCATCGCTTACAGATTACCCCCCAGCTGAGACATAGGATGAATCAGAGTTTGACAGAAATGTGCCCTAAGTGTCATGTGGAGGTGGGGAGTTACAGGTACTGTGTCTGGTCATGTGTTCATATTGAGGGGTACTGGGTAAAATTAATGATAAACTCAATTTGATTTTCGATGTCCACCTTGAGCCTGGGCCTCAGGCTCTGCTCCTGGGCTTACCCAGCCGTCATATTAAAAGGCTCTCATCAAAGAAGGCTGTTCAATATTCTTACATTCACTGCCCTAAAAAATATACTGCTTAAATGGATTGATACTGCACCTCCTACAATTATAGGATGGCACAAACTGATATTTGAGCTAATACCAATGGAATATTTAACATACAAATTCAAATGTAAAACTGCAGTTTTCTTTAAGACTTGGACACCCTTCTTTAAATATGCTGGTAAAACACTTACAAATATTGTCTTAAAGGGAATGACTGACTGCAGCACTGACACTTGGCAAAATGACATCTTTGGGTCATAAGGTTCGATTTCTACTTACTTAGTGATTGATTGTCATTTATTTATTACTCATGTATTTTGTCTTACGAAATTTTGTTGAAAATTTCAAATACTTTAATTTATATAAGTTTGTATCCTTTTTTCACTTATTTCTCTCAAAATGGTGAGTTGTTGCATCACTATCACTTGTAATGGGCTGAGCGCTTCTATGTGCATATGTTTATTTAGGTGCTATGACACCTCCCACGGTACACCTACACAATTGTATGCAATTATTTTTCCAAGTAGGTTGTGGGCTATGTATATCTTATGGCAGGGATTTCAGTAAGATGTGTAATTTCTGTGGCCACTGTTTGTAATGTGTTCATTTTGTATTTTTATGAAAAAAATCATAATAAAAATAGTTTTTTAAAAAAAAAAGAAAACCTTGAAGTTGACATAGTACAAATATCTACCAATGAAATTATGAAATTAAACAATTACAGCCAATGAAAAGTATATATATAAAAAAAACAAAACAGCTTTTAAAAAAAATTAAAAATAACAAAATGATGAGTAATGAAGTAATATAACATCTTTAATTTTTTTAAATATATGTTTGGGAAGTCTGTTTCAGTTTGCTTTCAAAAGGACACCCATTAACCAGTAACCAAGCGGGTAATTTTCAAGCAAAAAAAAAAAAAAAAAAAAAAAAAAAAAAAGGGCCTTTCCTTTCAGTCCAGTGCTCCATTGCCTCAGTGAGCTTAAGCGCTGCACTTCAAAGTGCTATCCATTCAGAGGTGATGAAATTTTAATGTTTTGTGATGTAAATGTCTTGCATTTTATTTTATTTTATGTTGGCTTTGCTGTCAGACAGCCAACTAGTTGTGTTAACATGGAAAAATACCCACCGCCTAACCATTACGTCTTGCTCTGGATAATAGGCCTCATGATAAATTATACATTGTACAGCCATTCAAAAACATGTCTAAAGAGATATGACACATAGCTTGTATTGTCATGTCTGTGAGTAGGAGTAAATGAAAGGATGTTTTACATCCAAAATTTGACTTGGAACAGCTTGATGAATACTGGCCCTGAGAGAGACTACAGACCAGACCCAGGATATGCTGATGGCAGACAACTTGGCCAACCTCCAGGATAGTTAGAGGAGGCTGCTCCCTTGTATATGATGACAAGTTTCTCTTCACTCCTGATATTTCTAGTTGTTGTGTTCTCTGTTTTGTTTTTTTCATACCTCTTGAGGTCTTCAGGCTTCCCCCATCCCCCAATGAAGAGTTTGGTGAGGAGCAGCCTTCTGTAAAATACATCCAGTCGGCTCACACCCATGGACTAGCACCAGGCATCTACACAGGAAGACAGACACTTCATTCAGAGTGCTGGGGAAAGCCTTTATCAAACAAATGGCTGGCTAACAACATTGAGTGTCTTGCAGTTTAGGAGGCACTTTTGTCAAGGTTGGTGAGTCCAACCTGAGCTAAAAAGAAAACAAATACAGGACTTACGTACAAGGTGGCCAGAAACACCACTTTAAACCCTAGATTATTTTATTCATGTTCATGTTTCCGATTCTTATGGTTTATTTTAAAATCGATGTGGTCTGATACTGATGACGTGTCAATATTATCATGCATCCCTAATAGGAATTCATAAGAACTTTCAGTAAACGACTAAAGGGAAATGTTTTAGGAAAGGGCAAAGTAAAGAAGCATTTTTTTAAATGCCTAATGACACCACAGGCGACTTTACCATTTTCTGTTCCATAAGTTTATTTTTGTTCAGAGAAGGATCCTCAAAATAGTTCGATTTTAAACATGCGTTTCATACATAATGTTGAAAGTACCTCACTAGTTATTTATTGTATAAATCATACGTATAAGGTATTGACGGCTCCTGCACAGCACAGGAGAGAAATGTGCCTTCAGGGCTTTCTGCCAGAAAGCTTTTCATTTTAACCCAAGCCATTTGTCTTAACCCTAACTAAGAAAGTACTGCACTTTGCTTTCATACAATGTCAACTCTCATTCATTCCTCTGCTGTTGGGAAGAAGAATAGAAGAATCGAATAGAGGAACAGAAGTGAAAAGATGAAAATAAATAGATTTCTACCAGAAGAAGACTAACTTCTCCTGCTGCAACAAAATCTAAACAGCACCTGGAAGCCCCTCAATGCAGAGTGCAATACAGGACTGTGCTCAACATGGGCGGAGTCAATCATATGACAAGCACCACCCTTGGTTAGTAGGCCAAGCTGCTATGACTGCTAGCTAGCTGGCAAGCCGCTACTCTGCAGTCCCTCTCCGCTTTACTCCCTGCCTTTGCGACTACCTCTAGCATCTCAAATTCAGACAGCACTAACCAGACAACCCAGTGTGGGGGTCACAGCAGGCTGGTGGCCAACAGCAGTGCTTGGTCTAACCTGTGTAGTGCCACAGCAACACAAGCTTGCTGATCCATCAGGAGTAGGGCTGCAAGATATTGGGAAAAAGTGACATTGCGATTTTTTTGCCCTCAGTGATATATATTGCAATTTATATATTTTTTTTAAGGATGCATTATTTTCCACCAGATGACTTCAGCAGCTCTACTTGGTGAGAATTAATCATTCTGGAATTATTGGGCTGATATTGCTTTGAATGCAACAGCATAAAATGTGCTGAAAATAGGCACTTGGTCAGTGAAACCACCATCTCTTTCAGTGTTTCCCCTATATGCAACTAGCAGCGGCGCACCACCCTTCTTGTTTTGTCTTTTCTTTTTTACATCTTAGGTCTTTAGAAACTACCGTTATATTATTTGGCGCACGGACGCTTCATATAATAACATTACACTATTTATCGTGTTATACAGTGAAACGTTTCACCTTATAACGTGATGACTTATATTGTTTACACAATGGCATGTCATTTCTGTCTCTATATGGTCCGATGCCATGGGCCCCAACACGTGTGCGCGCACACGCACACACACACACACACACACACACACACACAGAGGTGAGCACACTACAGCATGGCTCGGGCTGTATTTTACCAAGTCCGAGACATTTATAATTGAGCCAGGCCCGACCCTGCAGCACGGCACTGTGCACACAGTCAATGGAGCGGAGCCTTTGTTGCGTTCAGGTATTGTCACATAAATAACAAATTCCAGCACTTGAATAGGCTGTTTATTCTTTATTCCACTAAATTAGACACATTTTGTTGGTCAGTCATTAAAACGGAAGCAAGTTTTACGCGCATCACTTGGCAATTTACACATGCATGCTTAATTTATTAGGGCAAGCCACATAGCAAGCCCCACGATGTAAATATTGCACACGTGTGCATCGCAATGGTGAGGCAGGAGGGTCAGGTTTTGCCTGAATTTGAGCTGCTACAGCCGCTAACTGAAGGTCTGTCTCCAGAGCTGCTGTCTGCTCTTTTTCAAGCTAAGTAGTTTCAAATCGGCAACCTGAGACTGAAAAAAGAAGTTAATGTGGAAGTACCAAAAACTGCACTTCTTTGAATGGCCACTTGAGGCTGACTCCAGAAGCCAGTCAGTCCCCACTCACCCCCATGTTAAAATGCCCAACTTGCCCAAAATGCCCAACGCCCATTAGTTTTACAGTCTGTGGTTGTTTCATAGGCAGGAATGAGGCGAAGGGACCACATTATTAGTACAGCCTGTCTCCGCAAAATATGACAGCTACAATTGTTTGAAACATAGTAATATGAAATCAAGCTCTGAATTTGATTAATGTATGTATTTCCTCACGTGGTGTAGGAGCAGAGCACAGCCCAGGTCAGAGGGGCTGGCTGGAGGTGAGAGGAGAGCAAGGGCCCGTAGAGCATGTTGGAGAACCACAAGAAGGGTAGGGGGTAGGGATGCAGACAGAGGTATGAGATGAACAGTACAATAACCGTCTAAGAAAATATCACGGTTTTACGGAATCACTGTATTACAGAATTTATTATTATTAGTCAATATGACCCTTAAAGGAATGAAAATGGAAGGGTTATTTTTGGTTGAACAAACATTTTATACTATAATTGAAACTTGAAACCATTTTGTTAATATTAGTAAGTGTATAAAGTCTCCCCTTTGAAAATAACTAAAACAAAGGGAAGTTTCAATGTACAGTTGCATTTCTTTTTTTCCACTATCGTAGATAAGCAGATGTACACAGTATGATAACCATCAACTTTTCCTGTCATGGTATACCTTAAAACAGGTATGCCACTAAAAACCAAACCTAGCAGGAGGTCTGTGGTACAGCCTCAAGCATGCTCAATGGGCCCTGACTTGATGCTCAGCTGCCTGGCTCTATCCCACTGACTCTTGGCAGCCTCCAGCAAGCCACACTGACCCAGATTGTGAGGACCAAGAGGACCATTTGCAATTACAACCTTACTTCTTCATATGAAAGCAGTGATATATTACAGACAATAATTACTTTGCAAATGGTGTCATATGTTTTCGAGGTTGCAGTGTTCATAATTTAGTACTTCATACAGTACTGAGGTCCATCTTCAGGTGCCCAGACGGGGAGGGCGATGTTAAGCGTGGGCGGGATTAAACATTAGACCCCGCCCACACGTACACTGCAGCGAGGGGTACTTTGGCTGGTATGATCATGTTATAGTTCACATGCCGCTCGGAAAGATGTGCACAGGGAACAGAGCAAAGATAATACGATCCACCTCTTGTGGGACTGCAGTCCTGTCAGAGTGGGGGGTTAAGTTTTTGGTAGCATTTAAGTGCGATAAATACAACGTGGTGAATAAAGCCCTGAGCTATGTATGGCTACTAAAGCATGGTACTTTGAAAGTTGACATAGACAAGTCACACAGCAGACAACAATGCCAATAATTACCTCGGCTGGAGTATTCAAAATGACAAAGCGTGACCTTTGTCACAGTAACGTTCACAAGGTTACTATTACATCATACCACCGCTTATATTGTGGAATACGAAAATCTATTACATTATAGCACGCAGCAGCTCTGAGACAGGCTATAAAACTAATATTTACCTGTTACCCTAAGTTGAACTTAGCAAAGTCAGCTAACATAGCCTTGGTCATTCATTGTTTTTAGGGCGATAGAGACGGACAGACGAGCATACAGACAGATAGGCGGAGAGTGAGTGAGACAGACAGACCGTTGACAGAGACAGTGATAACACTACCTCAGACTGTACACAGACGTTTGTTATCCTTGCCGTGGATTTCTTCGCACTGCTAGCTAACAGCTAACTTACGTTAGCGTCCTTAGAGGGCGAATGACAGGCAGTGGAGCTACTGTCAAGTTGCTGCTAATGACAAGGAACTTCCGGTTACAACATTCTAAATAAACCTGTTCAAAAAAGACCTCACATTATGTTAGAGGGTACAATACAACAACTTAAAAGACCTCACATTATGTTAGAGGGTACAATACAATAACTTAAAAGACCTCACATTATGATAGAGGGTACAATACAACAACTTAAGCGTTTGTAGACAAAAGTAGGTTGTGTCTGGAAAAAAGAAAGAAATCCACAAAACTATGATGTAAAAGGAAGCATAAGAGAACAAACGCGACGGACAACTTAAAAACCTCAAGCAGTACACTGTAAAACATGAAGTTCACATAGGCTTACTATGATGTTATTAGGGTCCGGGCAGCTAAGCTGCCAGGATACTATTGTAATCCTAAGTATTCTTCTTCTTTCTTCTCCCGAGGAAATCATACTTTCCATGGGTGTAAACTCACCAAACTTTGCACAAAGGTCCAGTCTCATGCCAGATATCCTCAGCTGTAAACTCAAGCCAATAGTCCTGATGGTGGCGCTACAGCAAGCGTCTAAAATTCAAAACTTTGAAAATTCACAACAAATCAACCATACGGGCTACAACTTCACAACTTTCATCAAACTGTAGCCCCAATACTGAAGAAACCTTTGTACATTTAAACCTATTAAAAATTATGAAGTTCATCACTGTTTTTTTCAAAAACTGTAAAACTTCTTAAACCTATCTCCTCCCACAATTTTTGCTCAATTGACACCAAACTTGCTACAGAGCATCTTCAGACTGTCCTACACAAACTATGTTTCTCAGATTTTTGATTTATCAAAAATTGAGCCTACAGTGCATCAAAATGTTTGACTAAATGGTACTGTAAACATACATGCAAATTCTTGCTAAATAAATCTTCAATGTTCATGAAAAAAATGACAAAATTCTAGATGGTAGATGATGTGTGGCAAATTTCAGAATTTTATCTCAAAAACTGAATTTTTTACAGCATTTTGAATTTTGCTCTAATGTGAACAACTGGG